TTACATATTCTCTCAATGTATTAAACCTAAAATATGATAATATTTCTACTGTGATTCTCCATAAAGATCCTCTCCCAACTTTGCTCCAAACCCGATCTATCCTTATTCTTAAGGAAATTCGTTTTTCTCAACCTCGTTAAGTTTCTGCACAACATTCTGATCATGCATTTTCTCCCACAATCCTCTATTTGGGTCATCCACCTTCATCTCAAAATCACAAAAACAACAACTGCCACAACGACCACAGTAGCAACAAACGCAACAGCAACCACCGCAACGAATCTTCTCTTCGCCAATCCACCACCGAGAACTGCCAACCGTCGACTGCCCCTTCTCTTCCTCTTCAGAAACAACCACCTTCTTCAATGCAGTGACCTTATTTCTTTCTACTTTGGGCGCCATACGGCTGGCCTCCATCCCCCTGGTCCATTCCTCATCTCTTCACCGGACAACAGCAGTGACACCGCCCACCTCCAGTTGTTAGATAGCATGGACTCCTTGGCAGCAGTCTCGTCATTGCAGGTCGCTCACCTTAGCCTCCTGCTGTGTTTCATGCCACTGATCAGACCACCGACTCACCACTCATGGAAATGGTTTCCTCCGACTCAAGCTGATTAGGCCATGGATCTTTTTGCTGCAATGAACACCATGTCCATCAATGACACTCACGATTTATCATGGTACATGGACACTGGGGACATATTTCATTTGGCCTCGGACACATGTAAACTCTATTCTCTTAGCAATAACAACAAAATTACTCATGTTCATGTTGGCAATGGTTCACCTATCCCCGTCACTATATTTGATCATTCCTATTTACATACAAATCATCACCCACTTCAACTTCACAATGTCCTTGTCACACTTAACATAATCAAAAATCTTATTTATGTCTGAAAATTCACCACAAATAATAATGTTACCATTAAATTTGACAAATTTGGTTTTTCTATGAAGGATTTTCAAACCCTTCAGGTACTTCTTAGATGTAATAGCTCGGATGATCTATATCCCGCTTTCGAGAAGCCCAAATCACCTACCGTGCTCCTTGCGTGCACTCCAATGTTAAAACCCAATTTAATACTGAAATCAAATCTTTCCAATGCCTATGTTAAAACCCAATTTAATACTGAAGTCACCTACCGTGCTCCTTGCTTGCAGCCCATTATTCACATTTTTTGGGTTTATCCATTACGTAACAAATCTGAATTCATTACCAAATTCTTACATTTTCGTGCCTATGTTAAAACCCAATTTAATACTGAAATCAAATCTTTCCAATGCGATCATGGGGGCGAATTTGACAACCCTGAGTTTCACTCTTTATTTGATAAAAATGGAATCACTTTTTGTTTTTCTTGTCCAAAACCTTCCCAACAAAATGGAATGTCAGAACGCATGATTCACGCTATAAATGACATCATTTGTACTCTTCTGTTCCAAGCTCACATCCGGCTCGAATATTGGGTTGAGGCTTTACACCTAACATCTCATCTTCTCAATATCACACCCTCTTCATCCATTAAAAATGAAACTCCTTTCTCAAAACTCTTTCACAAAATCCCACATACTCTCACCTTCGCGTGTTCAGATCTCTTTGATATCCATACCTCACTCCTTCTCATAAACTCGCTCCTCGCTTTACACCTTGTTTGTTTCTCGGTTATCCCACTCATCATCGGGGTTATTGATGTCTCGATCTTGCTACCTGTAAGATCATTATTTCTCATCATGTCACATTTGATGAGACTTCCTTCCTTTTCCTCTCTGTCACGCCAGATCAACCACCATCTTATTGTTTTCTTGATGATCCAACTCCTATTGTCATATCTCGGATCATCAACTCACCACCCTCACCCACCGTCACCTCCTACTCTGACGTTCATCCTCATAGCCCTACAAAAAATGATGCATCTCTCAATCCATCGGAACCTCCTTCATCCACTCCGACACCCCCCTCCCCCCCCCCCCACACACACACACACATCCTATGATCACATGTGTAAAACGTAGCATTGCCAAACCCGTGTTTCATCTCAATCTTCATACCACTATTAAGTCTCCCATGTCTAAGTCACATCTTCATGCTCTTCATGACCCTGATTGGACCATTTCCATGCAAGACGAGTTTAATGCTCTTATTTCTCACGGAACTTAGAAACTTGTCCCGAGGCCCCAAGGGGCTAATATTGTGCATTACATGTGGTTATTTAAAAGAAATACAAGGCGGATGGTTCTTTAGATAGGTACAAAGCTCGATTGGTTGCTAATGGAAAAAGTCAAAGATCCGACACCGATTATGATGAGACATTTAACCCGATTGTCAAATCGGCCACCATACATACAATTTTGAGCATTGCCACCTCTTGACAGTGGCCTATTCACTAGCTGGATGTCAAGAATGCTTTATTACATGGCTAGTTGAATGAGACGGTTTACATGCATCATCCTCTGAGATTTCAACATCCGGAACACCCACATTATGTTTGCCACCTGCAGAAGTCTCTCTACGGTTTGAGACAGGCCCTAGAGCATGGTTCCATCGGTTTATAGAGTTTATTACACGTATTATCTTCGTTCATAGAAAATCAGACACATCCTTGTTAACGTTCAACATTGGTGCCTCTACCAACTTCTTGTTGCTCTTTGTCGATGACATCATTCTGACAACTTCCTCCATGGATTTGATTTGATACATCATCTCTCTCCTTTCCACCGAGTTTTCTATGACAGATCTAGGTATCCTATCATACTTTCTTGGCATTTCAGCTACAGAGACCAGTCGAGATTATTCCTTTCTCAGCGTAAATATACGCTAGACCTTCGTGAGCGGGCACATATGTCCTCGTGTAACCCCTATCGCACACTAGCTAACAGTCCAACGAAGCTGGATTATACAAGCACTCCTATTAAGGAACCGACTCTCTACCGCAACCTCATAGGCGGGCTACAATACTTGACCTTCACCCTCCCCGACATTACATATTTCGTTCATTAAATATGTCTTTACATGCATCATCCCCGTGAGCCTCACTTTCATGCGCTTAAGCGCATCTTATGCTACATCAGGGGTACTCTTGATCACGACCTTCAGAGTCATCCATCCTTCACGACGAGTCTCACCACATACTCTGATGCATATTGGGAGGATGTCCAACTTCTCGTCGTTCCACTAGCGGTTATTGTTTCTAACTTGGAAACAATCTAATTTCCTAGTCATCAAAACGCCAAGCCACCGTCTCCGGATCTAGCTCAGAAGCCGAATACATGGGGGGTTTCCAATGCTGTAGTCGAGACATGATGGCTTTGCAATCTTCTTCGGGAATCTTACTGTCCGCTAACCAAGGCTACCATCGTATATTATGACAACGTTAACACAATTTATTTATCGACTAATCCCGTGCAACACCAACACACCAAACATATCGATATTGATATCCACTTTGTTCGGGATAAAGTCGCCACTAGGCAAGTCCGTGTTCTTCATGTCCCATACAGCCTTCAGTATGCAGACATCTTCACTAAGGGACTGTCATCATCTCTTTTCACTGAATTCAGATCCAGTTTGAGAGTCCGATCTCGACCTCCCGCTCACATTGTAGGGGTGTATTAGTGTATATTATATGTTGTAGTGTATATTCAACCCTCTTAGCTTAACCCATTGTATCATCAACCCATTATGTAGTGTATCATTGTATGTGTACGTATATAGGTTGTGGAATGAGGGTATTACGTTTACGAGAAAAGATTCTAACTTATATATATATATATATATATATATATATATATATATATATATATATATATATCAATGGTAAAGTTTCATCCATTAAGTGACAACGAGGTTTACCATCTCATTCAACTCTCATATTGAACTCTCCACTATGGATGCTCTAAGGGAATCCACAATTCATTAAACTCTAAAGAGTTGAGTGGTTTGTCACATCATTCCCGCATCAACATTTTATTATATATTCAAGTTTACTCTTTAACATTCACACTCCACTAAACCTCACAAAATTTGATGAATTTCCACATCATCACCGTATTTTTTTAACTAATTTATAAATTAAAAAAAATAAAAGATACAATATTTAAAAATACATTAATTAAATATTACGAAACCTAAAACATTCAATATCTAAAAATAAATTAATTAAAAAACATGAAACCTAAATGCATTAAACTTTATGAAACTTTGAAGTACATTATAGTAATACATCACGTAATTATGATTTAATGGACCATATTTATGAACGTTTTTTTAAATGACAACCGAAATTAATATGTATTATTTCAATTAATGTGGTATTTCATCGAAATTAGATTGTAATAGATTTGTAGTTGATATATTTCTATTTCAGTGAGTTTTATTTTTATTTATTTCATTGGATTTACTGATTTGTTATTGATTTGATTAAATATGACACCTAAAAATATAATACATTAAAGAATACAATACCGAAAAATATGGTCAATTTTGTTTGTAGTTTAATTATAAAATTTACAAAAATCAAATATTAAAATGTGATTTCATTTATTTTTGGTTCAACTTGCAATGATCATAGTTATCATCTATTCAATTTCTATTAAAGTTCTATTGTGTATGCTCTATAAGTTATAATGACTAGTTTTCAGCTTGTATAAAGACATTATAAAAAAAAAACTCGTTTATTTAGTAACATCTTAATTTTGTATTTATTTTTAAAATGGATGATCGTAGAAAACACGATATTATTTTGACTTGAAGTTTATGACAACTAATAATTAAGTGAGGGAAGTATAATGTTATCTATTTCATATTTTCTACTACAACAACATTTGGTGAGTATTATTCTATCTCTATGAAATGAAAAACAAAATTCAGAATATATTTACAAGTGGCAAAAAAGAAAATCTAAAAAATAGTTGAAAACAGTAGAAAACAATCGAATTTAGCAAACCACAAATCACACTCTGAGATTGGGTTTTAAACACATTCACACCACCAAATCCAATCATAAAGTAAGCCGCCAGCTCCGTCGTGCACGGAATCCATCGCAGCCACCACAACCCCCGGCGGCGTTAATCTTGGTCTGTACGTTCTGGAACTCCGAAATCCGGCAGGGTACATGAATCCCACCATCATAATTAAACCCATAAACCTTTTCAGCTTCTCTTAACAACTCACCAAACAACGGATGATTAAAGTAAATCACAGGCACCAAAACCCTATGCGCATCGTCTTCTTTTTCACCAACGTACACTGCCAAGTGCCCTTTTGGAACTGGGTTCAGTTCTTCTTCTCCGATCCGATTGTAACTGGAACCAGACTTTCGTAAGCAGATATCTTTGGCGCTTTTCTTCAAAGAGCGAGCGAATCCGTAGAGCTTCGACATGGCTTTGACTGTGTGATTATTGGGTGGGTTCAGTCTTATGTAATTTGATTCTTTTCGTCTCCGGTGAAGTCCCCATTTGACGAGCTTTACGAACTTGTGTCTAATTCTAAAACCTTTGATTTTGTTCATATTTGAAGAAATGAAAATGAAGATAAAGATGCATGCAATGATGGAGATGAAGGTGGGTGTTGTTTATATGGTGGGAAGTGAAAGATTCTTGTGGGTATGTGGAGAGAGAGAAGTGGGGAGTGGTCGGTATACGGTCTGGATGAATTTGGAGGCACGGAATAAATTAAACAGAAAAGGAAATAAATATAATATAAAATAAAATAAAGAAAAGTCAAGTCTTTGCACGTAATGACGGATACTTCGTGGCAATATCCTTATGTTTTTATTTTGAAGTCAAACCCTTTAATAGTTGACAAATACGTGTTTTTTTATGAACAAATTTTACAAATTGTCCTTAGGGTTTTAAAATTGTTTCTAAAATATGTCTTATGAAATTTTTTTTATTTTTTATTTTTTTTTGGCATGAAACAAAACTTAGCACCCTAATGATCATTGTGCCTAACTTTCTTAACAGATTCTATTAAGTGTTTTTAAATGAGGAAAATATATTTTGTTCTTATTTTCTTATATTTACTTTGATATCTTTTTAATTTAAATTTTTTTTTAAAAAAAAAAGGTCCACACACCCCATCCCTACGGGTATCCTCTCTCTTTCACAAATATAAAAACACAAACAAAGTAGCAACCACTATGGCAACCAATAAATTTGCAACCATGGTGCACACAAATATAAACAACATTACACTCCTACTCATATATGTTGTTCTTGAAAGGACACTCATACTTCTCCTCCTCATCAACTCCTTCTCTTTTCTCATCATCAAATTTCTTAATTATTTGCCCTAAAGCCACCCTTCTTGTGATGTTTTACCCTCCATCGCTTCTTAGAACCCGAAAACATAAATTCCTACCATGATCTTCTCTACGAACTACATTCCAAAAGAGGTTTCCATCATGGGTTTCTGCCCAAATCACAAAAAATTGGCATAAATCAAAGAATTGCATGAAGATTGTTTTTCATCTCATATGGATTTCCAATGCAAGGTGAAACGGAGTGATGAGGAATATGACAACGAATAGAACTTGAAGTGTTATTGTTGTGGTTTGAAGTTTCATAATAAAAGTTTTGATAGTTTTGTAATGACTCAGAATTCTTGTGATGTTTTGGAGCCTACTAAGAGCGAGGGTTTGATCATTGGTTCCAATGATCAAGTTGGATTAGGTTTGATCTAGAAACATGAAAAACTAAAAATCAAAAACTCAATTTATAGAACAAGAACTCAAAATCAAGAAATCAAAAATATCATTTATATCTATTGTAGTAGGGGTGGGGTGTTTACAGGGGTGGTTGGATTTACGATTCTAGGGTTCACCAGAGAACTGGGTTTGGTAAAAGGGTTGTCGTTGAAAGATAGCCATCCCTCCTAATCTTCCTTCATACGTCTCTGTTTTTTTATCTCATTTTTTTAACAACGATTGCACCAGGCAAGGTATAAAACAGGGTTTTAGATGCAGTGGGTACGGGTTCCATTTCCAAAATCAAAAAAATAAAATCTAGGTTTTTTTCTTCATCGCTATAGGTTTGTTTGATCTAGAAAAACATGTTTGTAGGTTTGTATCATCCATGTTATGTTTTGCTTTCAACCTTCAGATTCCTCTCATGCTGATTTTAAACATTGCAATTACTGTTATTATGATTGGAGGGATTTGCGATTAAAGAACCCTAAAAAACGTCTTATTCACCCAAATTCAGATTTCCAACCTTGTGATTCTGATATCTTCCCAAATCAAGCTTTCGATCATCTACCATTCTTGAATCAAAGAAATCAGATCAAGCTCTCAAGTATGTCTAGTTCAACATAACCAGATTCAGATTCTACTTCTCATATATATCACTTTTTTTTTATTCCACTTCGCATCTACTCCAGATAAACTAGAATTTTCCTTTCCCGTGTCAAAGAAATAGAAGGAAATGTAAATACACCATGGTATATGTTTAAGTATATAACTTTCTTCATATTCTGGAATGTGAATATCTAATATTCTACTTATTCTATGAATTTGCAATGTGAATGCACAATCTACATATTTGAGTATTACATTATACATATTCGCACAGTTGAAGGTCTTGCACTTCTCACACACAAAACCCTTTGCCTCGCTGAACACTAAAAGTACTTTTTTTTCTATTCTACAATCTTGATTGAAGAACTGATAAATTCATATTATGTTTTGCTTTCAACCTTCAGATTTCTGTCATACTGATTTTAAAGATTGTGATTATTGTCATTATGATTGGAGGATAGAATTGTGATTGAAGAACCCTTAAAAACCTCTTATTCACTCCTATTTAGATTTTCAACCTTGTGATTCTGATTATGTTCCCGAATCAAGATTTCAATCATCTACCATTCCCGACCCAAAGAAATTAGATCAAGCTCTCCAGAATGTCTAATTCAACATAATAAGATTCATATTCTAGTTCTCTTATAAATATCTTCTCTTTTATTCCACTTCATATCTATTCCAAATAAACTAGAGTTTTTCTTTCTTGTGTCAAAAATATGGAAGGAAATTTGAATACATCCTCATATATGTTTAAGTATGTAACTTTCTTCGTGTTCTGAAATGTGAATGTCTATTATTCTACATATTCTATGAATTTGCAATGTGAATGCATGATCTTCTACATATTTGAGTATTATATTCTACATAATGCACGATTATAAGGCCTTACACATCAATGAAGTACATTATCCTATTTTAAAATGTGAATGTGTGATATTCTAATTATTCTATAAATTGTAATGTGGAATGTAATATCCTATATATGTTAGTATAAAATTCTATATATTATGCTTATTATTATGTGCTGAAATGTGAATATGTACTCCTCAATTCTTTGACTCTTCCTCCCATTTTGTCTTGTACATCACAACCTATTAATAAATGATAAACAAGTTGTGAACTAATAACCAATTGCTAAAATCTTCATCAAATCTGTGTAAGGGTTTGTTGCAGCTAGAATGGTGGTGGTATACGATCTTTGTGTTGGTTTAGGGTTGTCCAATGGTTATGGTGTTGGTGTATATCATCATAGACGGACCCATTCCTTCGATGAATGACGGTATCGTGAAGGATGTAGGAACAAGTACACAAAGGAGGTTGTGGTTTTCAGTTTCGTACATGAAACGTACACGAAAAATAATGAAAGGGCGAAGTAGGGTTGTTAAGGCAATGATGGAGGTGAAGGGTAGCGGCTGGTGGAGGACAAATGGAGAAAAAGGTTGATGTTGTGGTCGATGGTTTTTAGAGAAAGAGGGGGAATTGGTGGTGGTGTTTATAGGGTGGTATATATATATATATATATATATATATATATATATATATATATAT